GAGAAGCACAAGCCCTTGAGGACAACACTGGTGCAGGCCAGACCCCACCCATCCTCGTGGCATTTCCCTGGACAGTGACCTTTCCCTTCACTCTCCCTCTGAGAACAAGCCTGGTGTCTCAAGAGGTGACAATGAGGACCTGCTAGAAGACAGGAAGGGTGGGGAGAGGAAATATCCAGAGGGTTGATGAAAGAGACACTGGGTGAGACTCATAGATTGGACCCAGCAGGAAAAAAAGAGAAAGTAACTGGGAGACCGAGGGAGCTTGGTGGCCTAGTGACAAGAAGCTGCACTTCAATCCCAAAGGCACATGGTTCGAATCCACCAGCCATTCCACAGGAGGAGGGCAGTCTCCTCCCATGAAGTTAACTGCCTCTGAAAATTTGCCGAAGGGTCAGCTATGGGTCGGTTCTGCCTTGATGATACACAACAACAAATGAAATAAACTAAATGAGGCATTGTTGTGGCTGTCGTGTGCCGTCAGGTTGGAAATTATTTAGCTGACCCTCCTGCGGGTTTTCAGAGCCGGCAAATCACATGGGTGGAGATTGCCCATCCTGGTGTATCTGAACCATGTGCCTTTGAGATTGCAGTTCAGCTTCTCACATCAAGGCCACCAGAGCTCCTTAAATGAAACAGAGGACGTGGGGGGGGGGAACAAAACACCTCACTGCCATTGAGACAGAACTGACTCAGAGCTCACCCTCCAGCGGGTTTCAGAGATTGTAAACGGCACGAGACAAGATTGCGCATCTTTTTTTGAGCCCCGTGTGGATTTGAACTGCCTGAGAAGTGCCACATTCAGGTTAAAAGTGCAGTTCCCTACAGACAATGCCACCAGAGAGAAAGAAAAGGGACGGATAGAGGCTGACTGCCACGGTGCTGTGGGGCACCTTCAAGAGCCAGGTCAAGAGGTGGTTTGGCCCTGGAGGACATGATGCTGAGTGAAATAGCTCAGTCACAAAAGGACAAATATTGCATAGGGCCACTATTGTAAAACAGGACTGACACTGGGGTTGAGGGAAGAAGAGAAGAAGGGCAGGAATGATGTATATACTGCATTGCAACAGATGAGGGAGAGAACTGTTTAAAAGGGATATATGATTAGGTGTTATTGTCATGACAGGAGTCCAGAATGAAGGCTGCACAGTGGAGTGGACTTGGAGGGAGGGAATTGCATAACAATGAAAGAGTTTTACTTTTCAAGAAGAGTGAATAGGGGTGGGGTAGGGAGAAAAGTGCAACAATGAATGACTGGAAACCCTAAGTCTCTGTAAACTTTGATTAAAATTATTTTTTTAAAAAAAGAGATGGCTTAGTGGTAAGGAGCCGCGCTACCAGCACAAAGGCATGCAGTTCAAGTCCACCAGCTGCCTTCATGGAAGATGGCCCATCTCCTCCTGTGCAGCCAACTGCCTCCGAAACACACCGGAGGGTCAGCTATGGGTTCTGACATGACAGTACACAACGAACCTGCTAGAAAATAGAAAGTGATGTAAGAGGTGTTACCTTAAAGACCCCGGCATTGCACTACCGGGGAGCAGTACGCAAGTCCCCAGACATGTCCTGGAGAAAGTCCAACCTCGGTGCTCATTAGAGACAAGTATGGTGACACCTGGTTTCACACACTTCAGACATGCTGCCAGGAAGGGCTAAGTTCTTTGAAAAAAAAAGATATCATGCCGGGAAAGGTGGGGGATCAGTGAAAGAGAGGACGGCCCCCAAGGAGATGGACTGACGGACAGGCACCGCAGCACTGGGCATGTGCGTGGCACGTGTACATGCTGTGAGGATGGCACAGGGCACAGGAGGGGTTGGGTCTGTTGCCCATCGAGTCCCCGTTTGTCACAGCTGACAGCACCTGCAGACCGCAGCTTTGAAGACTGACGTGTCGCTGCCCCAAGCCGAGGCGTTTCAGCCAGCTCGTGCACACATCCGCGCCTGGGGACACCAACAAGAGTGCTTAGGAGTCGTGACGCTGTCAACGGTTCAGGCCCGGGCAGCGCTGCCTTCTGCCACACAGACAGGCGGGGTACTCAGTCACAGCGACTGTGATGCCACCCAACATGTACACATATTTACAGCTATGTTCCCAAAAAGCACTTCACAATAAAGATCAAAGACCGCAGTATGAATCCTATCTCATGACAGGACCAATAAGCAATAGACTAGAATACTGATACACCATGATCGAATCACGGTGTTGGAAAACAATAGAACAATATTGGCAAAGGGTCCTGGGACTGCTTCAAGAACCAACCAACCCTCCTCGGAAGCAGCGCGGATGGGAACGAGCATGGTGAGACTTCTCACATACCCAAGCGTGTTAGCAGGAGGGGCTGGTCCTCAGAGGACATCAGGCCTGGGAAAGCAGCGGGTCAGCAGAGAGGACCCCCGGTGACATGGACAGATGCAGCGGCTGCAGCAGCGGCCGGAGCACAACAGAGAAGCTGAGGAAGACTCAGGACTGGGAGGGGTTGCCTGAGGCTTTGATGTGTTGAGACAAGGGGACACATCTAAACACTGTTGTGTGCTGTCAGAACCGGCCCTCCAGTGGACTGTCAGAGGATTACTGGAGGGGAATGTCGGTCTTTCTCCCATGGGGCAGCTGGTGGATTCAAACCAACTATCTTCACACTGGCAGCACAATTCCTTAGCACTAAGCCACCAGAGCTCCCTGACAATATTACATTTGCAGAACTGTAGTTTCAGAAAGGGAGCATGGAGGCTAGGAAGGCAGAAGGAATAGTTCAAGATAGAAAGGCTGACAAGTTTCCAGATTCGCGGAAAACTCCGAGAGCTTGCTACAGAGATCTAAGAATGTCGGAGCAGCCTGGCGGGCCACTGGGCTGCGGTGGAAACTCTGAAGTTTAGAGGAACATCAAGTGACATGAGGCCAGGACTGCCCATCATGAACCATCAGGCCCACCAATCACCAGTTCAGGCAGGTCCACCGGCGATGGGGCCAGCAGATCAAGGATGGAGCTCTGTCCAGTCCGATGGCACATGGTCCAGGTCCCATGCCACCCAGCATTGCAGCACTAGTGTTCCATCCTCAGCTCACACCTGTGGTCTCAGGGGGCTTCCCTATGACGCAGTCACCGTCAAGGGAAAGTCCAAGCGTGGTTTCCTGGAAGGTCAGCCCAGTACGTTGGGGTGTGGTGAATGTGGTCTGAGGCTGCACTGTACCTGCATGCAGCAGCCACCCTGAAAAATGTTCCCAAGGGAGCTCAGGGCCCCAATTCCAACTGCAGTGTATCTCTGGAGTTTTCTGAACATGGTGTGGGTGATCAGAAGACCCAGGCGCCCCAAACTGGCATGCACTGACCCCAACCCCTCTCCGGAAAGGCAAAGAGGAAGCACCAGCAGGCAGGCATGGACATTTGGCTCCAGGAAGGTGGCAGGGCCTGAGGCTTTCCTGCACCCCTTCAGGGCCCCAAGACACCTACCCACATAGTGAATGGCTCCCTCATTCTCCTCCAGATGGGGCAGGAGGACGCAGCCCCTCAGAACACACCAGAGGCTTCTAGGGAAAGGGCCACACACACCTCAGGAGGTGTAGTCACTGCTGTCCTCAACCTGGCTTCCCTGTAACAGGCTTCGTCCCCACGTAGGGGCAACTGACCCTGACCAGGAGTCCCCTCTGGCCACAACCTTGGCCAAATCTGACCCTGGTGTCCACTCTGGCCCCGCGCCCTGAGTCACTTCCACGACAAAGCCATTCCAAGTAGAGTGGCCTGCTAGCATTTCAGAAGCTAGGGGCAGTCAGGGCTGGGCCAGGTACTCCCGGGGAACTCTGGTGTGACACCTGGCTAGGCTCAAGGCTCCAGCCTGTCACTTCCTCCAGCCTCCTTGTGCCCTGAGCACCACCGCCCGGACACCATGTGCCTCGAGTACCTGGTACGAGCTTGGCTGTGTCCATGCTGGACTTGAGCTCCCGGCAAGGCCAGGCCAGGGTGCTGCTTCCACACACCCCACCCAGTGCCAGGATGGGCATTGCCACGCATCCAGGGCCAGGCTCCCAGGAGACACTCCATAGCCGTTAACTGAGGCCGTGAATGAACCAGCTGATGCTGCAGCCTGCTGCCCAGTCCAGGTCCGCTCCACAGAGCCCGCTGTGACTCACAGCGACCCCACACGACTGAGCACGAGGGCCCCAGCCTTCTCCTGGGCAGAGGCTGGTGGATTCAAACTGCTGACCTCTGAGTCAGCCGTCCAAAGCTTCACTCGGGGATCACAGAGCCCGCCTGGGGTGGGGCTCAGAGCACAGAAGGCCAGGGTCCAGGACCTGCCTGGTCACTGACCGGCACTGAGCCCAGACTTCCGCGAAGCCAGAGAGTGAGGCAGCCGGGCCTGGATCCCCTCCCTCCCAGTCAAGCCTGGCACCTGGGCAGAGGTCCCTTGTACTTTATTGAGTGAGAAAAGCCCCCTGGGCTCCCATCTTAGCGTTACTGTGGGTGCTGGGGCCAGCCCTGCCTGCCCCCCACCCCCACCCTATGGCCCCAGGCGGCCACTCCCACCCCGGAGGCCGTGTGCTGAGTTCAGGCCAGGCTGTTCATGCAATAGGTCACTTCTGAGACCTGGCCTCCTGGGAGGTACGAGAGGACACTTGTGGCCTGGGTCCAGCCCTGGGGATCCAGCCTGCTGGGTGGAGCTGCGCCTGGCCGGGTTCTGGACAGTGCCTGCCAGGGGGCCCTGGTCAGAGGTGCCATGCCGACTGCCCCTCTCATGGTCAGTCCGCCTCCAGGTGCCGTGCCCACTGCCCCTCTCGGGTCGGTCCGCCTCCAGGTGCCGTGCCCACTGCCCCTCTCGGGTCCGTCCGCCTCCAGGTGCCGTGCCCACTGCCCCTCTCCTGGTCAGTCCACCTCCAGGTGCCATGCCCACTGCCCCTCTCGGGTCGGTCCGCCTCCAGGTGCCGTGCTCACTGCCCCTCTCGGGTCCGTCCGCCGCCGGGTGCCGTGCCCACTGCCCCTCTCATGGTCAGTCCGCCTCCAGGCTGGTCACCTGGGCCCTGTGTAGCCGTAGGGGTGTCGCAGCAGCAGGCTCTGGTGACTGGGCAGCACGTGTGTGTGGTAGTGCTCCACCAGGCTGCCCACGTTCACAAACAGGACCTCACCCTCCAGGTAGAACTTGGAGTCCTGTGGGGTGAGGGGGTGGGTCAGGGGGGCCCATCTGTGGTGCTTGGTGTAGGTGCCCTCAAGTCACCCCGAAGGACTGTCCACGCCCGGGAGTCTCAAGTGTCCACCTCAGCCCCTCTCCCACTCAGGGGACGCCCGGCAGTCAGTAACTAAACCTCATATCTGGGGAGGATCGCTTTGTCCATTCCTTCCAGGGTGTGTAGGACAGAGCTAGGGCAGCAGGGGAGGGAGGCTGAGGCGATGGGGGCGGGGAAGTGGATGGAAAGTGGTGGGAGGAGTGGGGGGGGGGTGGGAGGAGGCTGAAGGGAGGTGAGAGGTAGGGGAAGGTGTGGAGAAGGTGGAGGGGAGGTAGATGAGGAGAAGGGGGAGGTGGGAGAGGTGGGTGAGGAAGGAGGGGGAGGTGAAAGTGGGGGGAGGGGGAGAGAGGTAGGGGTACGGGAAGTTAGAGAGGTGGGGAGAAGGGGGGAGGGGAGAGGGAGGGTAAGGTGGAAGAGGTGGAAAGGGGTGGGCAGGTACCATGGAGAACCAACCCACTGCCCCTCAGCACCCCCCCCAGCCGAGCCCCAGGACCCCCCTCCCACAGGGGCGCTGACCTGCCCACTCACCTTCTCAAAGATGCGGTAATTCCTTACTTTACTGGAGGTCTCATCCCACACGACCAGCACCTGGTGGGGGGAACGGCTCAGGTGAGAGGCAGTGGGGCCATGAGGAAAGGATGGGGTGGGGCGTTGGCAGGTGCATGGGGAGGGGCGTGAGTTCACCTGTGAAACAGCAGACACAGGCTGCCTCTCACCCCAGGGCACCTCTGACCCCAAATGGCCCGATGAAACTTCCCAACAGTAGCCAGTCTATATCATAACCACCCCTGACACACAAGGGGAAACTGAGGCCCAGCAAGGGTCAGGAACCCCCTTGAATAGGCAGGTCAGGCTGAAGACTTGCTGTCATTTTCACTGCCCCTGACCCCCAACAGAGTCCCCTGACCCCCAGCAGAGTCCCCTGATCCCCGGCTCGTCCCTCCCACTTTAGCCCCATCTGGAACGTGGTCCTCAATTTGCAGATGCTGTTTTGGTCCTGAGAAGAGCTGGAGGCAGATGTGCTGGGCAGAGACCCCGGGGACAGAGCTGGGTGAGAAGAGGCTGCAGGGGCTGTGGAGTGTGAGCTCAGCAGTGCCCAGGGACCTCAGTGGGCAGTGGCAGGGGCCCCTCCCGGGTCACTTACCTTCCCCGACTTGGTGGAGGAGTTGCGGATACAGTACAGCCCGTCCTGTGGCTCCCCCCGGGGACTCGTGGCCTTGAACAGTCTGGAACAAGAGGCAGCAAGGTGAGAGACCCCGGCCGCTCCATGACGCGGCCACTGGGACTTTCTCTGAGTGAATTGTTCAGTCCATCTGATTCTGAGCCACAGCCACCCGTGGGACAGTCCGATGGCCTGAGTGGGCTCCTGGGCTCCTGTCTGTGGGAGCAGACCCCCAGGCCTTTCACTTGAGAAGCAGCCAGCTGGTTTTGAACCACTAACCTCTTGGTTAGGGGTTGAGTAAGCACCACCAGCATGATACGGGGAGTCGAATGACATACACCCAGTGCACAGTGGAGCCAGCACCGCTATCAATTTTTCATCGCCCCTGAAGGGGTGGGAGGGAGGGAGGAAGCAGGAAATGAGGCGGTGGCACGACTTGGTGGGGAAGGCGACGGGGCAGAAGACACACACATCGCCGGGTGGAGAGAAAATGGATGTGGCTGGGAACCTTTACCCAGAGAGCCGTCAACAAGAAAAAAGAGCAAAGAACTTTTCCATCACCCCAAGCAGAACCAGTACCCACTGGGCAGCCACACCCCAGCTTCCCTCCTTCCCCGGCTCCGGGAGCTCACGCCCACCTTTGTCTCTAGCATTGCCGATTCTGGACATCTTGCCTCAGGGGGATCACGCAGTATTTGTCCTTTCATGTCTGACTTACTTCACTGAGCAGAGTTTTCAAGGCTCATCTGTGCATAACCTGTATAACTGTGTCCACTCTCTCACCTGAGAGGCCCCATGGAGCAAGGCTTAGTACGTGGTGGCTCAGTGAAAGGTGAGTGAGAAAAGTCTGGGTATCTGCTCCTATTAGGGGCCGTCGAGTTGGGGGTCTGCTCAGAGCTACACAACAGAGCCCCGAGGGGCCCATGAGGACCCTCGCCATCCTGATTGTCACCGTCTCTGAACTTCACAATGTCTGAGCCGTTACTTCGATCCTTCTGAGGAGGCAACTCTTCCCAGCAGCAGCTTGAGGGTCTTCCAAGCTGACCGGCTCATGTGCTATTTACAAGATTTCCACTGGCCAGTTTTCCTGAAAGACTGGAAGTTCCACAGAAAGCTGCCCACTTGCTGGCATTTGAAATATCACTGGCAAGCCTAGCATCACGGCATCACACAAGCCAGCAGAGCTGGACAGAGTGATGGGCGAGGCGCGGATGTGACCTGGAAAACAGTATATGATGGTCAACTCTGTCACTCACGCTGTGAGCAAAACACCAGCTCTGCGCCCAACAACGTCTACCTGGGCCACGTTTGCGATCCACAGTCAAATGCCTTTGCTTAGTCAACTAAGCAGAGACAGACACTCCTCTGGTACTCTGCTCTCAGCCAGGATCCATCCAACACTGCTGATAATGTCTCTAGGGCCATAGCCTCTTCTAAACCCAGCTTGCACATCTGCCAGTTCTCTGCTGATATACTATTCCAGTCATTTTTGGATAATTTTCAGCAGGATTTTGCTTGCATGTGATATTGCTGGATAATTTCCATAATCTGTCAGGTCACCTTTTTTTGGAATGGGACTAAATATGGATTTCTTCCGTCAGATGGCCAGGTAGTTGTCCTCCAGATTTCTCGGCACAACCTGGTGGGAACATCTTATTTTTGGTCAATTCCTTCAGAGCTGTTTGAACATCCTCCTTCATCACCCCCGCCTCTTGATCATATGTGGTTTCATGAATTCTGTGTCAGCCAATTCTTTTTTGTATTCTGTATACTCCTTCCATCTTCTTTTGTTTGTTGTTGTTGTGTCCTGTTTCATCAGATCCAACTGGCACAGGAGGAAATAGCCCCTCCTCCAGCAGAGCATCTGGTGAATTCGAACCACATACTTTAACTTTCATCTTCCTTAATGCTTCCTGGATCATTCAATATTCTGCCCACGGAATCTTTAAGATTGCAACTCAAGGCTTGAATTTGTTCTTCAGTTCCTTCAGCTTAAGAAATTCTGAGCAAATTTGGCCCTTTTGGTTTTCTGACTGCAGTTCTTTGCACATTTCATTATAAAACTTTGCTTTGTCTTCCTGAGCTGCCCTTTGAAATCTTCTATTCAGCTCCTTTACTTCCTGATTTCTTGAGTTTGCTTTGGCTTCTCGGCACTCCAGTGTAATGTTCAGAGCCTCTTCTGACATCCACCTTGGTCTTTTCGTCTTCCTCCATCTTTGCAATGAGCTTTTACTTTCTTTTTTTTTATTATTATTTTGTGTGCGTGTACCGTCAAATCAGATCTGACTGGTACAGGAGGATATTGCGCCTCCTTCTCCAGCAGAGCATCTGGTGGACTCGAACCGTGTTCCTCTGGGGTTGCAGTGCAGCTTCTTGCCACTAGGTCACCAGAGCTCCCCAGCTTTTACTTTCTTCATGGGTGATATTCTTATTATCTTCCCATAGCTCATCTGATCTTCACTCATGAGTGTTCAAGATCTCAAACCTGCTCCTGAGATGGTTGTTAAATTCAGGGGGGATAGGCTCACGGTGCAATTTTGGTTCCTGTGGATTTAACTTTCTTTAGCTTTAGTCTGAACGTACATATGAGTAGTTGGTGGTCTGTTCCACAATCAATACCTGGTATATCACAGCGGATACTGAGCTTTTCCAATGATTCTTTCCACAGATATAACTGGTCTCATTCCTGTGCATACCATTAGGTGTAATCTATGTGTACAGTTGCTATATATGTTTTATATCTTATAATAAAAGGTATTTGCAATGAGTAAATCATTGACTGTATAAAATTCTAACATTCCACCTCCAGCCTGATTTCTGTCACCAAGTCTATGTTTTCTGACTATTGATCCTTCTTCCTTGTTCTCAACTTTTTGAACACTGCATCGTCCAAAATCAGGAAAGGAGTGCGTCAGGGATGCATGCTGTCTCCATACCTATTCAATACATACACAGAATAGATCCGGGAGGCTGTACTTTATGAAGAAGAAGGTGGCATCAGGATCGGAGGGAGACTCATCCACAACCTGTGTTATGCAGATGCCACAACCCTGCTCGCTAAAAATGAGGAGGGCCTGAAATATTTGCTGTAGAAGGTCAAAGACTGTAGTTTTCAGTATGGATTGAAGCTCAGCATTAAGAAGACAAAGATTCTCACCACTGGGCCAGTTAACAGCACCACAATGGATGGAGACGAGACTGAGATTGCTAACAGTTATAGCTTGCTTGGCTCCACAATCAACACTCTTGGCACTAGCAGTCAGAAAATAAAAAAGATGAATTGCATTATGAAAATTTGCTGCCAGGGACTTTCTCTAGAGTGCTAACAAGCAATGATGTCAGTCTAGAGACTAAGGTGTGCCTGATCCACTCCATGATCTTCTCAGTTGCTTGCTATGACTCTGAGAGCTGAACGATGAATAAAGATGACAGAGGAATCAGTGCCTCTAATTTATGGTGCTGGAGAAGAGTCTTGAACATACCATGGACCACCAGGAAAACAAACAGGTCTGTCTTGGAGAAGGTCAAAGCCCTGGAGGCGAGGATTTGGAAGTTCTATCTCACATACTTTGAGCATATGGTTAGGATGAGCCAGTCTTTGGAAAATGGCATCATGCTTGGAAGGGTGGAGGAGAGGAAGACCCAGATGAGATAGATTGATACAGTAACTAGGTAATGGGGTTAGGTGTGTTGGAAACAATGAGACTGGCTCAGGATAGGGCAGGCTTCAGGGCTACTAACACATCGGGTCACTGTGAGCTGTAGGTGATCAATGGCACATAACACCACCGCCACCATACCACAGTTAGGAACACCACAAGGTTTAAAATCAGGAAGGGTAAGCAGAAGGTTCTATCTTTTCTCTACATCAGTTAATTCTATGTTGTTGTTGTTGATTGCCTTCAAGTCGAGCACGGCTTACAGCGACCCTCTGAGCAAAAGGCCTGAAGCCCCTCTACAACTATCGACATTTATCAAAGTTCACAGAGCTTTTCCACAGGCAATTTATTTAGGAAATGGATGCCACGCCTGTTTCCAAATTAACTCTATAGGCTGAGCAAATCAATCCAGATGCTGGATTACACAAAGAAGAACGTGGCATCAGGATCAGAGGAAGACGCATCAACAGTCTGTTCTGCAGATGACAGAATGGTGTGCTGACAGTGAGCAGGGCCTGAAGGCCCACTTACAGTAAGAAAAGCCTTCAGTCCGGGTTACATGAGTAAAATATCCCCCTCACTGCATCAACGGGCAACATCCTGACAGATGGAGAAAAGTATGAAGCTGTCAACCATTTCATCATATCCTTGAATCGCAATCAACACCGCCATTAACTGCAGTCAAAAAACCAAAAGACATGCTGCATTAGGAAAACCTGCTGTCACAAAGCACTAAAGAGCAAGGATGTCAGTTTAAAGACTAAGGTGCACCTGTTCCAGAGCCATGGTATTTCAGGTTCTTTGTATGCACCTAAAAAATGATGACTAAGAAAAACAGAAGAATCAATGCCTCTGAAGGGTGGCACCTGCAAAGATTATTTAATGTCCAACGTTACTGGACACTAACCACAAGAACAAATTCGTCTATTCTGGAAGAAGTGTAACCAGGGTGCCCCTTAGAGGCAAATATGGTGAAACTGTCTCACACACTTTGAGCACATTGTTAGGATGGGTCGGTCTTTGGAAAAAGACTCCAGGCAGGGAAAGGTGGCGGGCCAGACAAAGAGAAGACGGACCTCAGAAAGGTGGACTGAACAGTGACTTTAACAATGACCTTGAGCAATGTGGCAATCATGAGGTGATGCAGGAGAGGTCAAGTTCCACGGCTGCAGGTTACAGGGTTGCCATGCATTGTCATGGACTGGAAGGCACCTACCAACACACCAAACTTTGGGTACCTGTCCTTCTGTGGGTTCCCACTTTCGGCTCCTGCTGCAGGGATCTGTGGGAGACCTTGCTTCTTCTAAGTTTTGGGGATTTACCACGAGCAGAATGACCAGGTCATGTGGTAACTGAGGAATCCTGCTATTCATACGGTTTCCTTGGCCAATCATTTCAGAAGAGAATGCAAGGCAGCGATCTCCACCTCACCGTGGACTCCAACCAGCAGAGCAAACGTGTCCTGGACGTACACCCTGTCTGTTTCTTAGAAGCAAGTACGGTGAGACTTCACGTCACACACTTCAGGACACTTGGAAGGACCCGTCCCCGGACAAGGACATCGTGCTTGCAGAAATAGAGGGCTGGTGAAAACACGGAAGACCATCAAGGAGACAGACAGACACAGTCATGACAACAGCCGAAGCACAGAAGCTGCTGTGAGGTCGAGTGGCCTTCTGTCCTGTTGTCTGGGGTTTTGTTTGTTTTTTTCTTTCTTTCTTGTTGTGTGCCATCGAATCAGATCCAACTGGCATAGGAGGAGATTGCCCCTCTTTCTCCAGTGGAGCATTTGGTGGATTTGAACAGTGTTATCTTTGGGATTGCGGCCGAGCTTCTTGTCCCTAAGCTGTCAGAGTTCCTCCGTCCTGTTGTACACGGGGCAGCTGGCCGTCAGGGCCAGCTGAGAGGAGTGGCCTTCTAGTCTGAGGTACACGGGGTCTCTGGCAGGGCCAGCATAGAGGAACAGCCTGCCATTCTACTGTACTTGGGGTCCCTGGCAGGACCAGCAGGGACAAGCGGCCTTCTGTTCTGATGTATGTGGGGTCACTGGCAGGGCCAGCAGGGACAAGCAGCCTTCTGTTCTGATAGATGCGGGGTCACTAGCAGGGTCAGCAGAGAGGAGCAGAGCTGAGGGCCTGGGCTGGAAACCCTTGGTGCACACAGACCAGCTACTTACACCAGCACCAAGGGGAGAGAGAACAGGGCCCAGGGAGACTGCAGGGAGCCAACACCCTGACTACGCAAAACAAGGCTTTGGGGAGAAAAGGGGTTCAACTGACCTTTCCACCTCGAAGGATTCCGTCGTGTTGATGAAGACTGAGCTGGGCAGTGGCACCTAAGGAGAGGCGATGGGGGTCAATGTCAAGTCCGAGGGCTGTGGGCCAGCACCGACCCCACACCCATCCATCTGTGCTGGGACCCGGGACTCCTCGTGGTACTTCGTCCCCTGCTCTGTCGCAGGTCCCTGGGGTCCCCCACTTGCCCGATAGGAGGGATCTGGGCTTGCCCCAGCCTTGCCTTCTCGTAGTCCTCATCTGAGTCCCCGCCACCGGTGTCCACCTGTGAGAGCCGCCGGGGCTTCTCAAAGGAGAAGCTCCTGAAACTCTGCCCATCGGGGGGTGATCGCCTGTGGAAAGAACAGACCCCAGTGCAGTCAGCACGGGCGGCCTTTGTGCCTCTCTGCATGCTGTCCACTCGTCCATGCCACACCCCACTCGGAGCAGCCCTGCAGCACAAGGCCCTGCTCCAGGCCTGCAGCTCCTGGCTGACCACTCGGGGTGCTGAGCTCCTCAGCCTGGGCTCCATGGATCTTGGCCCAGCTCTGGTGCTGCCAAGATTGCGACCTTGACCTAGTGTTGACCCTCTCAGTGGATGTGGGACAGGCGACCCAAGACCTGGCCCCACGGGGCGCACACTGAGAGAATGATGTTCATTGGCCAGGGAATGGGGTCCTCGTTGGCCAACTCCCTCCCTGGCTTTCAGGTGGGATTAACCGAGACCACAGGCTCCCAGGACCCTGAGGCTGTGCTGACGGGCTGTGGGCAGTGTGTGGAGACCAGGTCCAGCACTGAGGTCTCCAGTGCACAGGGCCCAGCAAGGCTGCCGCTGTGGCCCCAGGCCCCACTAGACAGTGGGCACCAAGCTCTGGACACCTGACAGATGCCAGCAGGACACACATGTCTGCACAGCTTCACGTATTTCCCCCTCAGGGTGAGTCACGGCCTCTACCACATTCCAGGGATTTCCCGGTCGGGAGGGCTCAGGAAACAGCTGGGCCTCGGTCAGGAGGACACACCCCAAGTTCCAGGGGGGTGGCAGCCAGGCAGGATTGGGGCCAGGAAGCCTGCAGTGACATGCCAGCCATGCGGAGTGACGGCCCAGGTCTGGACCAGGGGCTCCCACATGCCAAGCCTCAGTCAGAGGCCCCTGCACCCCAAGTATAGATCAGAGGCGTCCACATCCTCTTCCCAGAGCAAGGGGAGGCTCCCTGACGTAGACAGGAGCATGCGAGGAACACGGGGTCTGCCACGGTCTGGGCTGAGAGTGGGGAGGGCCGTGCCAGGTGGGGCCTCGTGCAGGTGGACGTG